ATGCTGAAGAATGCAAGAAGGAATGAAAGATGAAGGGCTGGGGAGATAGCTCAGTGGCATAAGCACCGGCCTGGCAAGCGCAAGTTCCTCAAGTTCCATCCTCAGTACCACAAAGAAAAAAAAAAAAGAGAGAGAGAGAGAAAGATGAATTGCCACAATGTTCCTAACTTAAGTGAAATTATTAAGCAAAAACATACACACGGTTCACCCTTGCAAAGCAAATGTTAAGGTTAAATAATACTGAAGGAGTAAGTAGAATTTGTGGAAAAGGTGAAGGTTGGCGTTTATTTTAAAAACATGTAGTCACAGAATCCATGACTGCTGAATCCGAACATTTTCTACACATTTAACACATACCTCTGAATAATCTATGAACAAGGTCATGGAGCTGAACTTGTTACACACAACTAGACATCATTCTTGGCTATAATCCAAGGCAGTTGACTGCAGATATTTCTTGACATGGAAATAGTCATGTCTTGGAAAATTGCCAGAACAACAAGCCCTGTATATTTCACCTTATTTTCTAAAGACTTCTATAAAATTGTCACTGCATTTTTAAAGGCCCCAAATACCATACTTTGCAATTTAAAGCATGAAACTTTTGAAACTCCATGTTAAAGAAAATGTGATTACATGGCAAAGTACCAACTGACCAAAAAAAAAAAAAAAAATACATTAAATAAATATACTAAAACTGACACTGGAAGAAATTGGTACTAGCCATATGAAAATAGGAATGGTGATATTCAAAGTACTAGCAGTTATAATGTGAGCTCTGCACCAACTAATCAGCTAGCAGTAGCTCTTAATCTCTAAGCTGCCATCTCTAGATTCTTAATAAAAGTATGTACACACCTTACCTTTTCCCCAGATTCATTCTGCTATAGGTTTGACCACAAAGCTGTAGCTACAAACTTTGATGATTTCCCTTTTACAGCTAGGTGAGTTTCAGCTTATAATGGATATTCAAATCACTGGAACTCCATAATATGTCTTGGAAAGTTGACAAATGGAAAATCTAAATGGAAGTCTTCCAACTGATGTAGCAAAAATTATATTTTTATATGTTAACTAAATCCAGGTTACTATACTGTTAGGACACTTACAGTTTCTTATTAGACCTGCTTACTCAGAGGATTGCACCAAGCCAATGCAAAGCATGATGGTGCACACCTGTAATCCTAGCACATGGGTGACTAAAGCAGGAGGACTGCAAGTTTAAGGCCATCCTGAATTATATAGTAAGACTTTGTCTCAAAAAACTAAAAAACAGGGGCCGGGGAGATGGCTCAGTGGAATAAGTGCTTCCCTGGCAAGCGCAAGAGCCTGAGTTCAATATCCAGTCCCACCAAAACAAACACAAACAAACAAACAAAACCTGAAAAACAACAAAAACATACAGACAGAAAACAAACAAACAAACAAACAAAAAAAGTGGTAGCACTAAGAATGTGACCCACTATAAACTTGTGCTTTTCATTCAGTCAATCATATTAAGATGGTATTTATTAACAGTTTGAATGGTTTTTATCATCATCATAGATGTTTGCAGTAATTTGAATGTTTAAAGCTATTAATTATTTATTTTTTATTACTGAGTTATCTTAGCATCCCCTTAAATTGTGGGGTGCCCAGACTTGATGGGGTGCCTCACTTGCCTCACCCTATCCTGGGCATACAACTGTTTATGGGCCAGAAGCACAGTTTCGGGGAGCAGAAGTAATGTCAAATTCAATTGATTTTAGCCTCTGGCTTTCTTTCCTAAATCTACTGAGGTAAAAGCCACACATATCTTTTATACTACAGTTATTCACAATAGTAATCCTGACTAGAGTTCCCATGTATCCCTATGAGCATCTAATGAGAACACTAAATGTTACTCTGGTTAACTGTGACTAAAACCACGAAATTAATTACCTGTGGTACAATACTAATAGCCAAATTACAACTTTGTATTTCATCAGTTGTCCCACAAATATCCTTTTGCTTCCCCAAGATCTGATCTGAGATCCCACAATTTAACATATTCAGGACTGAATAGTTATTATTTCTTAGCTTAATTATATCAGAAATTATAATTACACCAAAAGGTGAAGACTACTTCTGATTTTGAAAACTGATAGGGTTAAAGGTGCCAGAGAAATTTTCCCTTTGAAGGAAGATGCTGTGAAGATTCACTGAAATAAAGATTAATTAGATAAAAAAGCATATAAATTTATTAAACAGAAAGAGAAAAGTCATAGTGTGGGGCTGATCAGAGGAGGCTCAGCATTATTCAGAAGCTTATATACCACATTTTCTACAGAAGAATGAGGGATGTAGATAACATTTTGAGTTGAGAATGAATATTGAGGATTATAAAACAGAAATTAAATTGAAAAATAATCTCCTTGGAATCCGAATGAGCCCAAGGGACAGACTTCATCTCATACACCACCCAGCTATGGTTACATCTCTCAGGCTGCCTGCCCAGGACAGAGAATGGGATTTCAGGTGAGGATGCAAAATGGCTGTGTTCTCTTTCACAGTCTGCTCTGAGTTCAAATGGGGGAATTTGAGAGTCTATGCTAGAGTAGGCACAAGCAACACAAGCTTTTCCTTTATATTGAAGTATACCATGTCAAAAAGTGCCATTTTATTGAAGTATCATCCCCTGAGTCACACGGGGGTCAAATGGAAATGTGCTATCCTGAGTGGCACGTTCCGGGAGACATTTTGGTCTTGTGATACGATGACACACTGGAGCAGTTGCTAGCAAGAGGAACTCTAGAAAGGAGACACTATCTTTTGACTCTTATTTTTAAGATTGTATTTATTACCACAAAGTGATACAGTGTCACCTGGGCATTGTTGGTGAGATTCTAATACCCATGTTGGTGGTCAAAGGTATTAGGAAATTGAGTTAAAGTTCTCTGACTCCCAGTGGGCCTTCTCGGTGTAGTCATGTTTATTCTGTTGTATGAAAACACCAGAGACCAGGTGCTGACCTGTGTGGTAAAGAATTCAGCACTGTCCACAGGGAAGGTCAGATAATTGATATTTACTTTTGGGAGGTCATCCGGGTCATGTCTGATAAGAGTGTCTTTGCTTACATTGGTCAGCCAAACTGGATTTTAGGATAAGAGCTGGCCATGCCAGAATGACCAGCCATGTCATTTAAGTGGGCTCCTATGCTGTGTAATACCAGTGCACTTGGAGAATGAGTTCAACCATATAGTAATCAAATCTAGGTAATGAGGCACCAACCAAATCTCTGGACCCAGAGGATTATATCTGGTTGGTAACACTCCACTAATTCTGTCACATATCCATGCTTGGAGGATATCACAGTAACACATCCTGACAGAACACAGGTAGCTGACAACAGAAGCTGTGCCTGTCTAGCAGTCCAAATTTTGTGCTCTGTACATTTGCCCTTAGCTGATGTTCATTCATGTAATCTTTCCCTGTAATAAACCATAACCATGAGTTTAATAGCTTCCTTCCACAAATCATCAAATTGAAGTTGGTTTGGAAATCTCTCAAATTTGCAACTAATGTCAGAAGTCTTAGGAAATATACCCTCAAATCTTGCAATGTAACTGACTCTGGATAAAGAGTGAAGAAAATAGAAAAATATTTGTTATTGTCCCTTAACCTGCTTAGTATTTGTAAATATAGCTTATTTCTTTCTTTTAAAGGTAAGAAGACAAAATATCAAAACCACACCGTGACACTTCACACAGTGGAAAGGCCATAATCAAAAAGGGATGACGAATGTTCACGAGGATGGGGAAAAGTGAGAGCAACGTACAGTTGGTAGGAGCCTTCTACTTTGGAAAACAGCCTCTTGCCATCCTTCAAATGGTGAAGCAGAGGAGCCACAAGGTTCAGCAGTTCTTCCAGAGCGCTACCCAAGAGAAATTAAGATGTACGTCCACAAAAAACCTTTTTCATGAAGGCTCATGGTATTGTCATTCGCGAGAGTCAAATATGGAAAAGACCTCTATGTCCATGAGTTAATGAACGGAAAAAAGAATAAATGTGATACAGCTATACAATGGATTATTGCTTGGCAGTAAAAAGAAATGAACTACTAATATATTTTACACTATGGAGGAACCTTGAAGACATGCAAAGTCAAAAAAGCCAGACATACAGGTTCATATTATGATTTCACTTACATGGAATCTCAGGAATAAGTAAGTCTATAGAGATAGCTTGCCTGCGCCTGGGCAGGGCTTGGGAGAAAACGTGGGACTATTAATGGCTGCAGTCTGTCTTCACGAGGGTGACGAAAACGGTCTGAAATTGATGGTGGTGCCTGTTACACAACGGACTACTTTAAAAAACCACTTAATTGTGCACTTCAAATCGGTGAACTGCGAGTTAAGAAATGTGAATCGTATCACAAAGCTGGTTTGCTTTTTTTGAACTTGAGTTGGTAATAAGACAAGCTCTGAGCTCAACAAAAGTGAATTAATTCGTTCAGTGATTTTTTTTTTTTTTCAAAACTCCTTGTTTAGACTTTCCCGGTCTTCACAAAAATGAAAGTGCGCTGTGATCATTTTCTACGTATGCCAGGAAAACACGAACTGGAATTTCGATCTGCGAGTTTCGGCTCCGAGCATCCACGGCGACCGCGATCCGCAGATCCTACAGCCACAGCTTCTCGCCTTCTCCGAGCGCCCCGCAGCTTCGCGGAGCGGAGAGGGCGGACTCCCGGCCGGGCGTGCCCACGCTCGCCCTCCGAAGCCGGCTCTGCGGGGTCCTAAGGCGCACGCCCCAGGAGCCGCGCTCCTGCCCCGCGGCGGCCAGGGGGCGCTGCCGGGCCGCGCTCGCTCGC